TTGCTCGGTGACAACTTGGGCACAGGGGTGGGCCGACATGCACACGAAGACACTGCCTGCTCAATGATGCTGTTCGGATGGTTGGATTGAGGGGAAGGGTAGGTTCCAATTGGTGCTCAACTGTAAACACAACAATACCCATCAATCATACATCTGCTACATTGTCTTTTTGTACTTTGATTAGTTGGTTGACGGACTGCTAACCTCACAGACGGATTAGTTTAGGACTGTTGTATGCTACCATAGTCAGTTCTAACTAACGCTGCTGTAAGTGAACCATTCAGGGTGCATCTGGACAATGTAAACAATCTGTGTGAATGTTGTAGACATGCCACTTGATTCGGTATAGTAGGGTACTCGCCGGACACAACTATTGTTAGAAAATTAGGTGTCGGTCAGATACATGTTGTGGTAGGATTCCACTAGGGGATTTTAGTGCAGAAACTATCTACCTAACTAATGAGTGGATCAGAACCTGTTGATGATAGAGCAGACACTAGAAGATTAACACGTGCACAGGCACTAAGGGTACCGCACATGTTCAGGACCTTGGACGAGGAAGAATTAAGACAACTTCGCGCCAAACGCAGAGCCCGTGCTCTCGCAGCATCGAGAGCAACAGCAAACGCCGCAGCTAGGGAACAGGCTGCAGCAGCAGCTAGGGCAGCAGCCATGACTAGCTCAACAGCATCCTCTGCGGCTTTGTCAGGGACTAATGGGATGAGTGTGGGAATGGCAACTAGTTCCACGAGTTCCTCGGGCACTTCCGGGTCTACAGGTTCTAGAGGATCTTTTAGTCAAATGGCAGGCTCGCAGTTCAGCCCCATGACCGCACGAGAGCGGGAGCTCGGAGAGATCCAACAGGTCGAGAGGCTCCGCCAGCAGTTAGAGGAGGATCTGAAGAAAGCAACCGATAGAGAAAAAGAGATAAAAAGTAGAGCACCCAGACTTGATACGTTAGAGGCTGACAAGGCTGCGTTAGAGGGATTGGACGAATCAAGTTTGTCTGACCCCCTAAAAGTGTTGAGGGACAACATGTTGTCGCTGCATGCGCATGTGGACAGCAGGATGGACTTCATGCAAAGCACTTTAGACCAGATCCTGGAGGCATTGACAAAGCCAGGATTCCGACTACCAGCACAATCGCCGTTGCCGTTAACGGCGATGCCAGGCCCCTTTGCCGTACAAGCTGGCACACCGCCAAGTGGTACGTCTGCAGCAGCAGCACAGACTGTTGCATCTTCTTCTTCGGGTCCAGTGGTGATTGCTACATCACCACAACAACCTGTTCAACAATCTGGACAGCAGCAAGGTCAATGGTACCCCAAGACCCCAATGAAACCACCTCTTGCCTTCTCAGGCGAGAGAAAGGACGAGGAACTCAACACATGGTTGAGGAGGGTCCCGGTTTGGGTGAAGGCCAAAAGGACCTTGCCAGAGGATGAGGTGGTAACTGCGGCATCTTACCTAGAGGGTAAAGCAGCCAAATGGTTAGATGGGGTAGTTGTGAAAGCCGGGTACGGGCGACACATGGCAGATTGGGCTAAGTCTTTGATTTTAGACCAATTCATGGAGATGGTAGAAGCTCGATGGTATAACCAACAAGAGGCTCAAAGGGTCACTGATGCCATTAACAAACTTGACCAACACAAGTTCAGGTCAGTTAGGGAGCTTACGACTACCATCGAGAGCCTGATCCTCGTCCCAGGCATCAACTACAGTGACCAGTTCCTCTTGACCACATTTGTTAGATGTCTACCTGAGAACATGAGGAACTTACTAGCCAGTGAGGCACGCACTAAGTACCACTCATTTGAGACATTGTCTAGGAAAGCCTTAGACTTAGAGGCCACGCTAGGCAATGCTCAACCCACCTCAGGGAATGACTCAAAGAAGAAGAAGAGTCCTCAGGAGTGGAAGAAAAAATGGGCAAAGTTGATGATCGTTGAGTCTGATGGGACTCAAACTGAGATCGATATGCTCTCTGACCTGATGGACTACTCAGAGTATGACGACGAGGAGGTAGTTGAGGGTAGCACCCTCGCCGCGATAGTAAAGACTAAGGCAGGTGGCCGAGGGAAGGGCCAACCTAGGAGTCAAGGGAAGGCCGCCTCCAATCAGTCCAAACAGGCTGAGTGAGTCAAGGCAGGTCTTGACCAGGACGTGTGGCGTGACCGCCGATCGCGTGGCGCTTGTATCAACTGCGGTGAATACGGACACACGCAGTGGAAGTGCCCGAACGCTAAGGTTACGCAAAAAGGTTGCACCAAAGGTTGGGGCAACTATTTCCCAGGCTTCTAGCTCGGGAAACACGTAGGGCCAGTGGAAGTGATAGCGGCTTCTACTCAAGATGAAGTGGGAATGATACCCTCCTCACTTCATGACAAGGCCGAAGCTAATGACTCCTTAGCTACCCCGCAGACGCATCTAGATCAAACTATGCTCTGTACGTTAGATGTGTCTTGGGCGGCGCTAAAGAAGGGTCCTAAAGGGGAACATTTCGTCGTGGAAGTGGATGTAGGAGGCCGCAAATGTGGTGCCTTCATAGACACAGGCTCCACGCGAAATTACATAAGTCGCGACTGTTTGGAAAGGCTGCACCTACAGGACCGGGTACGACACCTTAGTAGACCAGTAACATCTACTTTGGCCAACAAGGAGCGCATGATTGTCACAGACAACCTCAAGGACGTAGTCTGTACCTAATCCTACGGAGGAGGTGAGCTTAACCATAAGGTCTCGTTCTTGGTTAGTAACGACTTGTCATTTGACATGTTGCTAGACATATACTACCTCGATATTGCTAAGCCTCAGTTTGACTGGGATAAGAAGGTGCTCAAACAGAAGTTGCCCGATGGCCGAACTGTCAGAATGACTAAGTTCAAGGCCAGCAGTATTGTAGATACATATGGCTGCTTGTGTGCATCAGCGTTCTATAATTATTATAAGGAAAACCAAGAGGAGGGTATGTACCTCGTTTATGTCTCTGAGAAGGGGGAGGCCGTTAAAACACCCCCAAAGATAGAACGCGTCGTTGCTAAGTTCCCTGATCTGTTCGAGGAGCCCACAGAAGTTGTTGATAGGGAAGTTGTCCACGCTATAGAAATCATTCGAGGGAGTAAGACCCCAAAGGGAAGGATCTATAGGATGGCCCCTGCCGAGTTTGATGAACTTCGAAAGCAACTCAAGGAGCTGACAGAAAAGGGATGGATTCGGCCTAGTACTTCCCCTTACGGATCACCCGTACTATTCGTACCGAAGAAGGGGGGTATCACAGTGAAGAACGCAGAGCCTCTTCCTCGCATAGACGACCTATTGGATAGGGTGCAGGGATGCAAGTACTATACGAAGATAGACTTGAAATCCGGATATCATCAGATCGCAATAAGACCTGAGGACCAACACAAGACAACTTTTCAGACTAGATATGGTCTGTATGAGTTTGTTGTGATGCCTTTTGGTCTTTGCAATGCGCCGGGTATATTCCAGCACGCTATGAATCGGATCTTGCATGACCATTTAGATAAGTTTGTCGTAGTCTATTTAGACGACATTCTGATCTTTAGTAAGTCTGCCGAGGAGCACGCAAAGCATGTTGAGACAGTTCTCTCACTCCTGCGACAGCACAAGTATAAGGTCAACTTAGAGAAGTGCGAATTCGGTCGCACTAAGATACTATACTTGGGTCATGAAGTATCCACGGAGGGGATTAGGCCGGAAGATGCGAAGGTGGCTTATATTCGAGACTGGTTGGGTCATGAAGTATCCGCGGAGGGGATTAGGCCGGAAGATGCGAAGGTGGCTTATATTCGAGACTGGCCACGACCTCAGACTGTTATTGTGATCAGATCATTCTTAGGAATGTGCGGCTACTATAGGAACTTCGTAAAGAACTATTCTACAGTCGCCTCTCCTTTGACTGATCTAACTCGACTTGACACCCCGTGGGACTGAAGTGATGAGTGCGAAGGTGCTTTCAAGAGATTGAAGCATGCACTCATGAATCATGAAGTTCTCATGGTTTCCGATCCGCAAAAGTCATTCATAGTGACCACTGACGCAAACCAATACGGCATTGGCGCAGTGCTGGCTCAGCAGGATGGCAAAAAGTTGAGACCGATTGAGTACATGAGTAAGAAGATGCTATCAAAGAAGTTGGCTAAGTCCACCTACGAAAGGGAACTCTATGCTCTCTACAAGGCACTTGTCCATTGGAGACACTTCCTTTTGGGAAGGTTCTTCTATCTGAGGACTGATCATCAGATCCTCAAATGGATCAAGACTCAACCGGCTCTTTCTGATGCACTCAAGCGATGGATTGAGATCATAGACCAATATGACTTCAAGCTTGAGTACCTGAAGGGAGAGTACAACAAGGTTGCAGACGCGCTATCCCATAGAGCAGACTACCTAGGTGCGCTAATTTCTGACTTTGGCGTATCTAATGAAGTAACTCAATCATTGGTGGGAGCCTATCAGGAAGACCGTATCACGATGGACATCATCCGCAAGCTTCAGGCAAAAGACAAGGCCACAGAAAGTGAGTTTGTGATGGTGGATGGGCTAATCTATCTTGATAAGGCCGGAGTAAAGAGATTGGTAGTTCCATCTAGTGAACAGTTGCGTAGTTTATTTTAAGGAGAATGTCATGACGCAAGTGGGCACTTTGGCTACAAGAAGACGAGTGCAAACTTAGTACAACGATTGTGGTGGCCCAGAATGTTAGATGACGCAAAGAAGTATGTTGAAACCTGTCAGGTCTGTCAGCGGGACAAGCCGTGAACTCAAGCACCGCTTGGGTTATTGAAGCCTTTACCCATTCCTAATGGTCCAGGATTGAGTGTTTCCATGGATTTCATGGACACCCTAGTGACCAGCAAGAGTGGTAAGAGGCACATTTTCGTCATCATTGACAGATTCACCAAGTACGYTAGACTAATACCAATGCCAGAGACAGCCAGGACAGAGTATGTCATCAAGTTGTTCAAGGACAACTGGGTAAGGGACTTTGGTTTACCAAAGACCATCATTAGTGACCGAGACGTCTGCTTCACAAGTGAACTGTGGAAGAGGACTGCAGAACAGATGGGCAGTCAACTTCAAATGACTTCAGGGAATCATCCCGAAGCCAACGGACAAGCCGAACAAATGAACAGAGTGGTACATCACTTGCTGAGGCATTACATCAAGCCCAACCAAGATGATTGGGATGAGCAGTTGCCTCTCATCGCCAGCTTGTACAACAATGCTATTCATAGTAGTACTGACGTTAGTCCTAACCAGTTGCACTTGGGATGGAAGCCTAGATCAGCACTAGACTTCCTCCTACCTGAAAACCGACCTGCTGCAACTCCAAGCACACTTGAATACGGTGTGCAATATGAGAAGTTGTTGCGCGAGGCTGTTGAACATATGAAGAAAGCTCAACAAGCCATGATTGCTTCTAAGAATCAACATCGCAGACAGTCCACATTTCAGGTGGGGGAACGTGTCTGGGTCAAGGCTAGTGAGTTAGGACAAGAGTTCGGAATATCTCGTAAATTAATGCCTCAATACTTTGGTCCCTGGGAAGTCTTGGATGTAGTGGGAGATGAAATGGATGGTCCTACGTACGTCATTCGTGTCCCTGGTCATCTACGCACTCACCTAGTTTTTCATGCCTCAAAGCTTGCACCTTTCGCTGAGACAGATCAATTTCCTTCCAGGAGATCGATGCTGCCCCCAACCATGGATGGTCAAGTTGACATCGACGACATTGTGGATCACAGGGATATGCCTGTTCCAAAGCCGTTGGGCCGAGGAAGACCTCCCAAGCCCAAGAGAGAGTACCGCGTCAGATTCAGGCATCATACGGATCCAAAAGAAGATCGTTGGTTTACCATGGAGGAACAGATTGACACAGCTCCTCAGGTGGTGGCAGACTATGAGAAGAAACTGAAAGGGAAGGCGCCTGCGAAGTAAGCATCTCACCGGACTTTCGAAGCTAAGGAGGATGGAATGTGAGGATTGAGCCCTCAAGTAGGGGCCTTGCTATGATGTACACGTTCTGGGCTAAGGCCCCAGCAAGCCTAGTGCCCGCCCTAAGTGAAGGCGGGCCAGCAAATCGACAAGAGCCCTCTGTGCCACATTTCACGAAGTGGGGTTCATACAGTTGCAGCACGCCAGTTGGTTGGTGTGCACCGAGTCTCGGATTTCAGCAAATGCTGAAAGCCCTGGGCCTCTGAGTTGGTTAGGCCCTGGGCATCTGAAYGTGAGRCCGACAATGCATGCTGGGAAGAGAGGCCGAAAATGCCAAAGRGAAATCGGCCCACTGTCTGAATCTGGMCGCAGGCCTTGATGAAGGAGGCGGAACTGCMTTACCCCGGGGCCCAACTGTATCGAGTTGGCTTCAGCCTCTGGGCCYCGGTCACAGGCTGAAGGAAGGCCRCCCACACACTGCACTGGCATATAGGCAAGCAGGGCTAGGCAGCGAGGATCTTGGCCAATGCTGGCATATGCGGGCACGCTGCGCAGATGCAAGTGTGCTGCGCTAATGTAGAGCAGCGCTGCGCTAAGAAGAAGCAGGGCAGCGCTAGGCGGTAGGGCGCTGCCTGCTTGCAGAGCACTGGCGGCCATATCCGGGCCGCAAGAGGGTGCAAGGGAGGTGAGGGCGAATGTGGTACTTCGGAGGTGAAGGGAGCTGTGTGGGTAACAAGGGAGAGTGTGGGGAAGATGACACGTACCTGGTGATGGTGAAGGTTTGCATTGGTGTTAACATCATCACTCGCTCGTAGTCAAGTTGTCTGGTTGCTGTTCATTGCTGTAGTTGTAGGATAGGCTGTAGAGTAGATAGGGCGCCTGGCGCCATTCACAAGAGAGAGCTACATTTGGGTTATGCTGTTGGTGTTGCCCTGGTGGGCATGGACATTGACTCACGATTCTTYTGTATCATTCTCAATGGGATGGTTACTCGRTTCCATGTGCTATCTGCTTTGGCTTTGAATACTTGGACTTCAGTGTGATTTTGCATTCCGGATTTTTGTGCTTCGTCCATACTCATGTTCCTTGCAAAAGGGGAAAAAAGAAAGAAAATAAAATCAACAAACTTTGCGTCCAGGGCCTTTAAAGCCGCACAAACCTTAAAAAGGACCGACCAATCCGCCCACCTCCTATCGCCATGAGCTACTGCTGTTTATCTAATTCTCCTATTAAATCCCAAATCAAGTGTCCGTCTAACTCGACGGTATTCCTACTCACCTCCCTCTTCTTGTCTTCAGGCCACCTTCAGATCTTCAAGACCCCTCGCACAACCAACCTAGTTCGTAAAGAACCATTGGTCCAGGATCAGTTTCCCCTCCTCTATCCTCCCAAATTGACCCCTTTTGCACCACGTGTTTCTGAACTAGCTCAGTCCTGACTCCCTTTCTATTGTCATACCCACTTTCCTCCTCCAGTCCGCCATGATCGTTCTTCTCAGTAACTGTTTGAACGTTGACCGGATCTGTCTGTTTGTCCATTCTTTGTTATTGAACAGTTTTTCATTCCTTTCTTGCCAGATCACTGCATATCCCACTGTTCTCGCGCTCTGCGCTATATACCCCCAGCCTTCTGAGATACTCTATCCTTCATGAGCCCCCCCCAGGAGACACCATTCTTTCGTCCAATTGAACTCCCCCCCTGTACACTTCTCCCACTGTTTTATCCACCATGTCCATATTCTTGCCGAGGCAGGACAGTCCCACCACAGGTGTATTGTGGACTCAAACGCCCATTCACACCTGCAACACCTCAATTCTACCCTCATTCCCCGTTCTACCAACCAAACTGCCGAAGGGGTGGCCACCAACGATACCTGCCACAGAATGGATGCAAGTCGTTGATTAGAGATCAACTTCAGCTGTTGCCAGCACTTCCTCAGTGCTTTACCGATCTCCTCTTGTTCGAGAGGCAGAAGTTGTGCCCACCTTGACCTCGCCACTACTTCCGGGTGCTTTGACGGTACTTGATACTTGTAGCCTACCTGCTGGGTATACCCAAATATGCCAACATTTTCGCCTTCCTTACCCAGAGCTCTCCATTCCCACATCTTTGGATCCAGTCTCAGTAGTGACACTGATTTCCCATTTGCCACTACTGCCAGCGTTTGGCCTCCTCTCATCTCGTCCTTTTTTATCACTCTAATTTGTGTCAGAGGAGAGCCCAACCTGGGTTGTTCTTCTCCTACTGATGGCTCCAACGATCCAGTAGATGAGTAACTCCATCTCCGAAATAACGGCTTTCCATCCAACTGGATCAGCTGAAGTTCCCACAGTTCGCTCACCTCCTGTATCTGTTGAATGTACCACGTTCCTGGAGGATCTGTCGTAGCCGGATCCAAGATCGTCTTCCATTCTTCAGGTATGGCATCAATTATCATTTGCCTCCTTTCTTCAACGCCCCGTAGCTGTCCTAGTTTCTGTCTCAACTCTGATGATTGTTTCCAATTTTCGGTAAACCCATCCCACAAATCTCTCACCCTCAATACTCCCTTCTCAATCCACAACTTCCCAAAACTGTGAGGTTGACTATCTGCCTTCACCCAGGTTCCTTCCTTTGTCTGTATCCCCGGATTCTCAAATAATGGTTGTGCCAATACTTCAACTTTTGTTGTAGGTGGGGTCCAGGTGTTTGGCCTTAACTTCCTCCAAGCTTCAACAATTGCTGCCCATAGTGGAGACTTCACTACCCTGCGCTGGTATGAGTGGAGCATCAGACAGGTCCACACGTCCTCTACCCGAGGTAGACTCCATTCTTTGGCCAACGTCTCTTCCGCCAAGTGGATCCAATGTGGAGCCGGATCCTCCAAGCATGCCCGTATTATCCACTTAATTAGCATCGCCTCGTTCTGTTTACATGGGTCCACAATCCCCAGTCCTCCTTCCTCTCTTGGCACACAAAGCATCTCCCATGCGACCTTCGAAATAAATGCATCCTGTTCTCCCGCATATGGTTTCCAGATAAACCTTGCGGCTCTTCTCCTTATAAGCTTATATGTGCAACCGCCAATCTTCCTTATTGCTCCCACAAACCAAAGCACGCATACAGTGCGCCATTAAGAACTAGCGCTCTTCCAAATAACGATAGATGGGGAGCTTTTCCCCATGTGCCCAGTCTGCCGAGAGCTTTATGGAGAATCAGGTCATATTGTACTGCTGCGCATTCAGTCAAGGAGATCTGAACGCCCAGAAAACGTTCCGAGCCAATCTGATCTATTCTCCGCATTCCCCATTCCACCGCCATTTCATACTGTTCTGGTAACAAGTACACCGACTTGTGCCAGTTGATCGCCGCCTCCGAGAGCTTGGAGTAGTCATCCAGACAATCCTTCAGAGCTGACATAAACTGGACTGTGTTCTCCGAAACTGCAAACAGGTCGTCAGCAAGGGCCTTCACCTTGTGAGTTGTTGGCCCCGCTGGCATCCCCTTTATCTGAGGATGTTCTCTGATGTTGTTCAGGACCACCTCGAACTGCAGTGCGAATAGCAGCGGGGCCAATGGGCAACCTTGCCTTAGTGACCTTGTGAGTGCGAACTCTTCTGACAGCATACTGTGAATCAAGACTGATGCAGTTGAGTAGACATATAGCGTTTCGCCCATTTTGTGAAATTCTCCCCAAATTTCATGTGTCTCAATGTCGTTAAGACATATGACCAGTTTACCCGGTCATACGCCTTCTCCAAGTCCAACAAGAGCACTGAGATGTTCATTCCTTCCCTTTGTACCGTTTCCAGCGTCTCAACTGCCGTAACAATATTGTCAAAAATTGATTTTCCTCTGACGAATGCCGCTTGATCCGACTTCATTAACTCAGGAAGGAAGAGGCCGAGTCTTCTCGCTAAGATCTTAGCAAGGATCTTATACGACACATTTAATAGAGATACCGACCTCCAATTTCTGATCTCTGTTCGATCGCCCTTCTTGTATAAAACAGAGATAACCCCTTTGTACATACTATTGGACAATCTGCCACCGGTCAGCACCTGATTATAAATATCCACTTGGCACCCTCCTATTACCTCCCACAACTCCAAGTAGAGTTCCGCAGGCAGCCCATCGCAACCCGGTGCTTTTCCTTTGGCCATGACCTTCAATGCTTCCAAGGCCTCCTCCTCCGTTATCGGTCTATCCAAGCTGAGTCGTCCCTGATGTGACAGTCCTGTGACGGTGTTGTCCCAATGAGTATTTCCTACATCCAGATCCTCCACCACATCCGCTCCTTGAGTTCAAGAAGTTAATATGTCTCTGTAGTAGATCGCTGCATAACTACACAGTTCAGACAATTCCTTGATAGTTGTTGCATTCCCATCAAACGGGTGCTGGAGTTCGGACATTGGGACTGAAGAGCGACTCGGTAGCAGTTTTTGAAATGACTCTTTGGTCATTCGATCGTAGACTGCTACCCCTTTCACTGTTAAGCGATCTGCCCAAATTTCTGACTTCCTCACTTGTATCTCATCCCAGTCCTTCATCAGTCTTGCACGCTCCCTTCCCCACACCACCCTTGAGATAGGGTGCTGCTCCATTCTTCGCTCCGCATATTCGATCTTCTGAATTATCTCCCTTTCCCTTTTCTTTCTGTCGAAAGCCAGTATTCGAGAGAAAACGTTCAACAGATTAGAAAACATTATTTCGAGAGTGGTGTGGCCCTGCCTATGTAAAGTCTATGGGCCTCGCCACACTACTCTCGAAATGTAAAAAAGACAAAAATGTGGCGGGTGCATCTGCCCATGTTCTAGGGGAAAGTTCATTCCCATTTTGCTTATTTCGAGAGTGGTGTGGTCATGCCCTAGGGATAATTGGTAGAAAGAGCCCACGCCAAAACTTTAGTTTTTCACGCAAGTTCGGTGGTTTGTGCGGTAAGTGGGTTTCAAGGTTGACAGGGTGGGAAAGGAAGCTTGGACGCATTGGCATGGGGGTCTTTGAGTATCCGGTTTAGGGTCCTTTCGGTGGGACTTCTTGTTCCTTTTTTGCTTTCTGTTTTTTGTTTTTTTGTTTTTTTGTTTTCCTTCTTGTCTTGAGGGAGATTGACTCGGTATCGGATGTTTTGGGATCTGGTATTAGTTTTTTTGGGTTTGAACCGTGAAATTGATGAGGATTGACTTGGAGTCTGACGATTGGGAGTTATGAACAGTGGACCTGGATTTTGGGAGGTGTCCCTGTGACCTTTTGATGATGAGTTTTGAATCTTGGATTTGGGGGTCGAGGATTCGGTAGTAGGGCCCTTGCGTTAGGACTTCTCTTTCTTTTCCTTTTTCTTTTTGCGTTTGCTTTTTCCTCTTTTCTTTTTCTTCCTTTTGAAAATAGTGGTTCGAGCCTTAGACCTGGAATTGGTTAGTTTCTTTAAGCTATAATCGATTTCTGTAGTCTAGTACCGAGTCTTCTGGACCTTTGGCGTGTGACGATCGATCTCAGATTTAAAGCTTGGCGTGTGCCATTCTTGGCACCGACTTTCAAGACCCCTGATGAGCGTGGTTGGCGGCCACGTGAAACCGGTTGAGTCATACGCCGAGCGTTTCACGTCGCTATTCTGCGCTTAATGTTATATTTTTCAATAGTCGCGTTCGAGATGCATTTGGGCTACATCTGTTTTCTTTCGCCTTCCTTCTCCCTCTTACCCCACTGCTTCCTGTTTGGCTGGTCTATGTCAGTTGTGTCGTCAAGTTTGTCTTACTACTCGTGATTGCTACAATGTAGACTTTCATGCACGGCGTAACCAGCGTAGAAGTTGTACTACGTTCGAGTGGTTTCGACCATGATGGCGTCCCATACGAACTTGAGAATTACTGATAATAGGTCCTGCTATAATTGTGGGCAGCAGGGTCATATCTCTCGTTATTGTCCTTTACCGGATCGACGAATCAATGGAGCACAGTCTAGCACTAGCACTGCGATTGTTCCTGCCCAACCGTTAGTTACGGCACCTGGTCACAATGTAGGGATAGGTACGGTCGCACCGTTTTTTTCTAATCAGTTTTCGGGTGATAAGGGTTGGTTACGTAACCGTGTTGCCACTCTCGAGGAGATTGTGGGGAACATTGAGGTCAAACATGATGCAGATGAGGCAAAAGAGTTAGCTGCCAAAGAAGAAGCTGAGCGACAAAGGAAGGAGAAAGAAGACGAGGAGAGGCGACTGCGAGACAAACAAGAAAGGGAGGAGTTACACTTGAAAATGAGTCAGGACTTAAATAAGCAGTGGGAGATGGTGTGTGCTAAGATTGATAAGAAGGATCAGGAAGCCAATGAACTGGTCAAATTGCGAGAGGACATTGCAAAGTTGACGAGGCAGCCGGTGGGAGGAGCACCGTCAACATCGGTGGCTAAGCCTGTCTCGGATATTGACGAAGTTGCGAGACTTAAACGTGAACAAGAAGAAATGAGGACTGCTGCGGACAGGAGATTTGTCTTGTTAGAAGAGAAGATTTTGGCGCTTGAGAAGGGGAAGGAAGAGGCTGAAGCCAACGCCGAATTGTGGAAAGCCGAGGCACTTCGGCCAGGCAACAAATGAGGGAGTATTGTCATCGAGCCTCCTGTATCTCACGCGAGGGTTCGACCAAGGGGAACCCCGGCAGGCGTTGTAACAGAAGGTCGAGTGAACCAGCAGTTGAAGGGGATTGTTGACCGGCACCAGATGGAAGTCAACCTGCTGAAGGAGTTAAGGCTGAAGGATGCCAATGAACGAATTGAGGCTGAGCAGAAGGTTGAAAGACTCAAAGAAGCTATGGCCAAATTGGAGATGGAAAAAAGGCATAAGGAGACCAATCTGAAGAATCGACTAGATGAAGTTGCTGGGCCGTCCACATGCAAGCCTCCATGTTCGTCTTCCAAGAAGAAGACTGGCGTGACACCTGCGGCACAAATCAATGAACGTGAGGCGTTTGCTCGTGAGGAAAGGAAGCAGCTATGGAAGCTCAACAAAGACGATGTGATGATGGTCATCTGCAAAGAAGAAGGGATCACCTATACGAAGTTGGAACAGACTAAGGAGGATATTATTTGTCAGAGGGTTGCACGGGACTTTGGGACTGAGGTAAGAGATACCGGCAAAGGTAAGAACGTCACTGTGGTTGATGTGTCTGATAGGGACAGGGAGGAGTCAGATAAGGATGAGGGGCATGACTCAGCTACTTCTTAGTGTCATGCCCGGACGCGACTTGCCTTTGGGATTTGGCACGTTCCCTTCGTAAGCTTAGGTCGTTCTCGTCTGATCTTCTGATATGTAAGATGCTCAATTTGTTATTGTGTCTCGTGATTTGTCTGTTGTTGGTCTTGGGAAAGATTCCGGGGGGGGGGGGGGGGGGGGGGGGGGGGGGGGGGGGGATTGATTCCTTTTGTGAGCAATTTTTTAGCGAGCCCAGATAGTACTGAAGGCGATTGGGAGGGACCGCTCGTTTATGTCTTGTTTTCCCCATGGTGTAAGCATTTGTATATTGGAAGTACGACGAGGGATTTACACACACGATGGTCAGAACATGTCTATCAAGGAACCCGAACGAGAGTTGTGGAAGAGGGTAAACGTAATGAAAGACTTTATAGATGGATAAGGAGGAAAGGATGTTGTGGAGGTGGAAAAAAAAAATATTCGATGGATCTGTCCGGCGTTAAATACCCGTGGTAAACCCCAGAGACCCAAGCGTTGTAGACCAGGACGGAGTGAGAGGTTACGAAAGAAGAGGAGGTCATTGTGCAATGATGAAAGGAAGTTAACTATTCGTAATGATGGGTTGTTGACCTGTTTTTATCCGAGCTTTGGACAACCTTCAAGGAGTCTGTTATCTATTTTAGATAAGTGTAAAGATGAGGTTATCTATCGTCTTCGAATTGTGTGTCTTGGGGGTAAATTGCTGACGGATAAATGGAAAGTACTTAAACGTTTTTATGATGGGAGTATTTTGTCTGGGAGTTTCGGTAGGCTTGAGCTCAGACATGCCAGAGGTTGGTTGAAAGGTGGGATTTCTTTTAAAGTGGAGAGAATTGTTCCCTTTCTTTGCCGATCGTTAGTATTTAAGAGCCCTCTAGCCAATTTCTTGGGTAATCCATCGAGTAGGCGGGTGATGTCCTGTTGGGATTTTGACACACTTGTGTATGCATATACTGTTGTTCGGACCTTCAGCGAGAAGAAGACACGTTTCCGGTTGAGATGTTTGTTGTCGGCTTGTATTCAGTCACGGTTTGGGTTTCAAGTCAGAAGGAGGTTGGTGGTGTGAATTACTTACGATGAGCAGATAAGTAAAACGAAAGTTCGTCTGCTATGTACACGCATTGTGGCGAGTCTCGATATTGGTTTCGCTTGGAAAGCCATGCTGGCAAGGAGAATTCGGGTGGTTTGGACACAAAATAAAACCGTTGGGAGTATTATTCACAATTTCTGAATTCATTATCGTTGTCGATCTTTTCTTTGTTCATGCACTGAATGTGACTCACGGCTACCACGAGATGTTGATGGGCATGTGGCCTTTCGGTTGAATGATTCTACTTTGTTTCCATCATAGATGAAAAATTCTCGGAATATTGTTCGTCCATCTAAGTCTTGCTCCGTTCGGTCCTTACGTCAGCAAATTGTCTCAGCCTTCCTTTCAGTTGGGACCCTGCCTAAATTTGATAATGAGTTGTTGTCTGGACGTGCTCTTCGTGGGTGCTTTGTGAAGGAGGTGCGAGGATGAATCCCTTTTGTACTGTAGCGCTAAACAAACCTGGTGTTGTCTCAGACGAGGATGTGAGGAGCTATATGCGACTGCTGGAAGGATTGGTGTGCTCACCGATTGATCATAATGGTGGTGATACTTATGTGTGTTGCCCTGTAGTGTATGAAAAAGGAATGAGTAAGTTGTTTTTTGATAACCCTGCTTTCGAACGTTGTCATGATGAGGAAGAGAGGGTGTTACGTAAGTGTGAGAAGGACTATAATCAGTCAGACCTGAAGAGAGTTGGACAATAGGACAAGAAGGGAGGATTGGGGAGAGCTTACTGTATCCCTAAGCATAAAGACGTGGAGTGGTGGAGGCCGATCTGCCCGTCTTACCCCGAATGCTCGGCGAAAGGGGGAATAATTGTTTCGCGTGCTGTCAATGCCCTGCTGTGGAATTTGCCTGAGAGGTCTAATCTGAATTTGCGCAGTGCTAATGATTTGCGGGGGGCAATCAAAAAGGTTAATCAAGGATTGACCGATGATGATAGGTTGATTGGGGCCTCCTTTGACGTGAAGGAGATGTTTTCGAATTTGCCTCATGCGTCTATTTTGCAAGCGTTAAACTGGGTGATTGATTTTTGGGAGCGTGAGGGTGTTAAATCGGTAGCTGTGAGGAAACACGGGAAAGGAGACAAGTTGATCAAAGGACAAATTGAACCTGGTTGGAAGTCCCTCTCCTTTGAAAATATTACAAAACATTTATGTTTCTGCAACTGGTCGGATTGTTCGACAGACCGTTGGGATACCAATGGGTAAATCTACTAGTTCGGCCCTTGCTTGTCTCCTCTGCGCATTCAACGAATTCAAATTCCTATTCAGTTTAGAGGGGGACCAACAATTTTTTTTCTGGGTTCAGGCTTGTTGATGATGTCTCCGTTTTCGTGCGATGTCAGAAATCGGATTCGGATGCAATTATGAAGGGTCTCTTAATGATTGATGAGTTTGAGAAATGCTATGATAAGGACTTGGTTCTGGAACGTACCAGCGAAGGGTGTTTTTGGAATTATCTTGGTTGTGAACTTAGGATTGTTCAAGGAAAGATGGGGGTGATCTGTTGTCCTGTCTTGAAAAATCAGAAGGATGTTCTTAAAGAAAATTTGGTTTTTCAATGCATTCAAGACTATGTATCGTACTCTAATAAGCAGCAGAAGTTGGTTGTTATTGGATCCTTCTTGCATAGGGCTAAAGCTTACACGACTATCGAAGGCACTAAGTTACCGTTTTTTATGACTCTTAAGATAGAGCTATGGAGAATACAACCCTCATTAGTTTTTCACGCAAGTTCGGTGGTTTGTGGGGTAAGTGGGTTTAAAGGTTGACAGGGTGGGAAAGGAAGCTTGGACGCATTGGCATGGGGTCTTTGAGGATCCAGTTTAGGGTACTTTTGGTGGGACTTCTTGTTACTTCTTTGCTTCTTTTTTTTTCTTGTCCTGAGCGAGATTGGCTCGGTATCAGATGTTTTGGGATCTGTTTTTTTTTGGGTTTGAACCGTAGAATTAATGAGGATTGACTTGGAGTCTGACGATTGAGAGTTTTGAACAGTGGACCTGGATTTTGGGAGGTGTCCCTGTGACCTTTTGATGACGAGTTTTTGAATCTTGGATTTGGGGGTCGAGGATTCGGTAGTAGGGCCCTTGCATTAGGACTTCTCTTTCTTTTCCTTTTTCTTTTTGCTTTTGTTTTTTCCTCTTTTCTTTTTCTTCCTTTTGAAAAATAGTGGTTCGAGCCTTAGACCTGGAATTGGTTAGTTTCTTTTGGCTATAGTCGATTTATGTAGTCTAGTACCGAGTCTTCTGGAACTTTGGCGTGCGACGATCGATCTCAAATTTAAAGCCTAGCGTGTGTCATTCTTGGCACCGACTTTCAAGACCCCTGATGAGCGTGGTTGGCGGCCACGCGAAACCGGTCGGTTCATACGCCGAGCGTTTCACGTCGCTATTTTGCGCTTTATGTTATATTTTTCTATAGTCGCGTTCGGAATGCATTTGGGCTACATCTGTTTTCTTTCGTCTTCCTTCTCCCTCTTACCCCAGTGCTTCCTGTTTGCCTGGTCTATGCCAGTTGTGTCGTCAAGTTTGTCTTACTACTCGTGATTGCTACAGTGTAGACCAAATGTCTTCAGCCTGGGTGAAAGGCGCCTTAGCGCCGTGGCCACAACTCCGTCGATCTGGATTTACCGGTCGATGAATTTGGCGCTGTTTTTTGTGCCAGATTCATGAACCGGTAGGGCCCTTCTTTTCCAAAATACGGTACCTGGGCCTCATTCTATCCTTCAGCGGTACCACCCTCGGCCTCTTTTACATCAAAATGAATCTGGCGCTGTTTATGCGCCAGATTCATGATCAGGTAGGGCCCTTGGAGCGACGCGTGGGCCTGTAGTACCCCAGATGGAAGACATTGGGCCGGTAGTACCAAACAGCTGAACTTTGGGCGGCCATGGGCCTCGCCACACCACTATCGAATCTCGGAAAAATTCGAGGGCTGTCAGAACTTTTGGAGAGGGCTGTTCTTGAGAGAAAAACGCCCTTGGCCACATAGCACACTCCATATTTTTCCTCTCGAAAGTGGATGCTCTCCGCAGCCCGATTCGGTAGTGCTGTGTGGTGGAGCCAACTTTTGAACTCGAAGGGTGTCCTCTACCTTCCGCCTTTCGAAAGAAGGGGCGTTTTGAGGAGTTGCTTCAGAGATTGCACTGTTCTCCTTGGGCGCACTACCGTCCAAACGATGGCGCAGCCATTAGAAAAAAGGCCTGACAACTCTCGAAATGGACCACGAACTGGTGCGCCTACGGGCGGTAGCACGAAAACCCCGAAGCTGCAGGCTGGGCTCAAACATCGTTTCGAGAAGGCCCTCAAAACCCGCGTTCGGACAACTCTTGAAGAGATCGGAGGGTTTTTGTTTCGGGAGGCTGTGTGGCGGTGCCCAACTCTCAAATTTTCTTGATTCGAGAGTGGTGTGGCAAGACCCTACATAACGCACCCTAAAAATGAATGCATACATGCTA